CGGCCCACAGTACCGGATCCCGTTGAAGCTGCGCCGTCTTCATCCACTGTACTCGTGCCGCCGTGGTGATGTAGGTTGCCTCCTCCGCGCTACCGTCCTTAGGAGCTGGTAGCTGGTGGTATGTCTTCGAACGCGGTGGTTCCACTGGTTGTCGCAGTGTGACCGTCCGCCATTCGGACGTTGTTTGGTGGTCCTTGGGGGGGGAGGGAGGGTGATTTGCCGTATTTACGGGCTACTGTCGGATTTATGTACGTTTCTGCGGTTGTGAATATAATAGGGCTGTTACGAAGCCTGATGGAAATTCGCGTTCGACCGCGAGGGTCGGATTTTTGTCCGGGCGTGATCGCATGCCGTTATTAGTCGTATTGCCATCGGTAATGCGGGACAACTGATTCTGAACCGCGACAGAGACTGTTCGGTAGTCGGTGTTAACCGCCATAACCATACTGTCCCTATCGGTTGCCACTGTGCCTATCCGATGCTCTACGCTCGCAGATTGATCTGACCTAATGCCGGGATAGGCACGGTGTGTGTGCTTACCTGTCACCCATGTGGGTGAGCACCCGTGTATCTGTTGCCTTTGTCCCTACACCTGCGGCTGCCCCATGAGCCGGTTGTTGTTGAACACACTTGTCACCGGTGACTGGTGAGGTGAGTGTGATTGGTGGTGGGGTGGTGTAGGTTGGGGGTCTGTGAACGGRTGTCATTAGGTGAGGTGGCGGAAAAAATTAGCGCTTTGTGATTACGCCTATTTTTCCCGCGTGTACTACCGAAATGTGCCAAATGTGTGTGCAATGTTCGGGCTTACATATGACTTTTGTGCTTGTGAATCGAGCAGCGCTGTTACGAAGCCTGACCTAAATTCGAGCTCGACCGCGGGGATCGGAATATTGTCGGGGCATGTTCGTTTTTCGTTACTCGTCGTTGGTTGTGTACTGTAGCGGGGCAACTGGTTCTGAACCGCGTTTCCGGTGCTCTGGTGAGCGGTTTGCACCGCCATTATCAGAGCGTCCGTTTCGGTTGCCTCT